GGAACCTACCAGCCTCACCTTGCGACCGTCCGGAACCTGTTCCACCTTGCACCTTTCCTCGCCTTGCATCTTCCCATGCACCTCGACTGGATTTTGCCTCGCGTGTTCACACTAGGGACCTTCACCTATTTCTCCTTCAGCATACCTACAGTATCTTGATCCAAAGCGTCACCGAACGCGCAGGATCCATCACATAATTGCTTTGTGCTCATTCTACTTGTGTCTGACTCAGGCATCCTCCTGCCCTTGCCTACCCAAGGTACCTTATTACATACAGTACTGGCCTGGGCTCGGGATAGCATTTCACTTCAATCGAGAAGACAACCATCATCAGTTCCCGTTGCCGCTCGACCCCGATCCTTTTCAGCGCCCGGACCCTTTGTCGTCATGGCCTCGGCGGCGACGTCGCAATGCCATGAAGGGTCGTCCCCTGGCAGGAAGCCTCCTGGGTTTCTTGATCTGCCCATTGAGGCCCGGAATCTTATCTTTAATCATGTAAGGCGCAGTGCTGCACCCTCGCACCCTCGCACCCTCGCACCCTCGCACCCAGCCTCGGCTGGGTCAGCCGCCGACCGTGGTTAACATGTCATGTGCAGTGCTCGCAAGCCGACCTCATCTGCCTCGCCCTTGTGTCGAAGCATTTTCGAGACCTCGCTGCCGCCCAGCTCTACCGCATTTTCCACATTGTATTTCCAGACGAAGAGGATCCCGCGTCCGACTCGCTTATCGACAGCCTCGCTGGTGGGCTGGATACCTTTGCCACCAGTGATTACAATTACGCCAGGTGGCTGCGCGATATCTCCCTCGACACCCTCAGCGCGGGTGAAAAGGCCGAAAGCGCCTACAAACCATACTTGTACAGCACAAGCTGCGGCAAGTTTCTCAACACCTTGCTACTCATCACACTGCGCAAGGCCAAGTCTTTGGAGAGATTCCAATGGAATATCCGGGTCGAGCTCAGCCGTCCCGTCTACCAGGCGCTCCACCAGATCACCACATTGAAGCACTTGCACCTGCGACTCCAAGCCGGACCCTCACTCTTCGAGCCACCCCCTCCCCTTCCATACCCGATCCCCACTACTCCTCAACCAAACCCTCCGGTCAACGACTGGCACCCGATTACCTTCAGCATCCCTCTGCCACCACCGCCTCCGATCGGTCTCGGAACCGGCCTCGTCAGCTTGCCGTACGCCTCCACACCCGTGCTCCCCCCGCCAATGCCACCAGCACCCAAGGTCCATGCACCCAAGACTAAGCGCAAACCTCTGCCAGCGAACGAACCTGCCACGCTATCTGGCTTTCAAAAGCTCAGGTCACTCGCCGTTCTCGACATTGATAATCTGGAACTTGTTTCGGAGATCAAAAAGTGTGTGCAAAGCTCCTTCTTGACGCTCAACAAGCTCAAGCTCTCCTTCTCTCCCAGCCTGGCCAATCAATCTCGGAAACCGAACCCCAATCTTGATCACGATGAGGACGATCCTGACGATGAATTTCATATCGTTCCCATGGGCCCGGGGCAGCACTGGGATGACGCTGCCGCACCCGTCAAGGCGTTCCGCGCCCAGGAGGAGCGGAAGCGCCAGGACGAAGTCCTCGCCGGTGTCTTTGGCATAGAACCTGCCTGGATCGACAAGACTCAGAAGAAGATGAAGGACAGGAAGCTCAAACATGACCCCAAAGAGACTCGCTCTGGCGCCGAGATCTTCATGGAGCGTCTGAAGGAGGTGTCAGCCAAGCTGGTCGCAGGTACAGAGGGCACGGAACCAGACGATCTTGAGTCGAGGGAAGCTGTCTTAACTATGATTCAAGAAGCTGCTGAGAAGTATCTTCAATCGAACGAAGCTAAGGCAGCGACCGAGACAGCAGCCAAGACTGAGAAGGACCACTCTACGACGAAACCGTCGGATGAAGTGTCGACAGCTTCCAAGCCTGCAAAGCCAAAATTCAAGGAAGCATCGCCTGAGGATATTGATGTTGAGGAACCCATCCCGGACGAGGCTGACGATAACACGGAGACGAATAGTGCGCCTGAGAAGGCAGCACCACCTTCAGCACCTCCCGCCACAGCAAATGTGACACCTTCTAGCAGCACATACACTCGCTCACCAGATGCTCCACAAGTATCGTCCACCAGAATTCGAGAGACGCGTGGAAAGGACTCAACGACGCCGCAGAAGAAGATTAATGACGACCCCACGACGATGAGCGATTACATCAGGTCCACCCGTGGTGCCTCTCTACACTCATTCAGCGTCCACCTGATTCCTGTCAAGGCATCCGTGCTCAAGGCTTCCCTTGACCTTAGGGTCCTGAAGAGACTCACATTGCTGAATGTCGGCCCCCAGACTAGCATATGGTCAATGCTCTCGAAGGAAAACAAAATCTCGCCATTGCCCTTGCGCAAGATCTTCACCGACAACGTGTCTATGGCTTTCCTGACTTGTGTGGCCCAATTGGAGGAGGTCACGGAGCTGTTCATGCTAGAACGTGCAGAGAATTACCGACCAGAAAGTTTCGCGCCAAAGACGTCAGTCAACATGAATAACATTCGCCGGCTCGTGTTACGACGTCACATCGGTACACTCAAGAGGCTGATGATTAAGAATGATGTGGACTCAAGTTGGGATGCTGAAGAAAAAACGGTTCTGTTGATGTGCAACCGCGGAAAGCAGCTCGAAGAGTTGGCAGTGGGCATGGGAATTCGCGCAATGGTAAGCTCCATAACAGACAAGTCCCTTTGGGTTCCCGCCTCCCTGGCTGCCCTAGAAACTGTGAGTTGGAACTGACAAATTTGGTCGCAGCACACCTTCTTGCAGCATTTCCCGGGCCTGCCCAAACTGCGCGCCCTCAATGTCGTCCACTTCCGCAGCGAAGACACTTGTCCGTGGGTCATGCGCGAGACACGTCGATTCTTGATCGACAATCTATCTCATCATCCTGAGCTCGTGCTGGAGTGGATCTCCATTGACGATGACAGAGTTGAACGCGTCATACGTGGGCCTTTCCCTTCAGATCGACCCGACAGTGACAAGAAGAAGAAGAAGAAGAAGGGCAAAGGCAAGGCCTCGGTTTTGACCTCCAGCGACCCAGAGACGAGCTCCTTCCCCGAGCTGCCTCTCAATAACTGGGACAACCCTAGCGACAGTGACGACGAAGACACGGACGTATCGGCGCAGTTGAAGCTGGAGACGATTCCAGACGTGCACTTTTACGACGTGTGGGACGTCCGCATTTTTAAGAAGGAGGTTATGACCGGCCGCCTGTGATCACGGTGATGATGAAAGCGTCTGCACGTCGGACATGGACAGGGGGCATACATGAGGCACGACATTTTCTAATGAATGCGTTGGACGCTTTTCTCGCGGCTTGAATCGAGCGGCAGGTTCATCAAAGGACCAAGCGTGTTATGAGGAAATTTTCGGCATGGCGTGGAGAGGCTTCTCTCTGACTTTTTTTTTTTATTTTCTTCTCTCCTTTTTAGGCGTCAAACAGCGGGGTATTCTTCTTTTTGATAGCGTGAATGGTTTCGTGGGCGAATGAGATTAGGAAAAACATGTGTCTGTAACAATAGTCTGGCTCCTTTTCGGGATGAGACGATAGTCTGAATGCACATCCTTTGGCACCGATGATCCAGTTTCGTTCCGTTGCCTTTCCGACTCGTTTCATCAGAATGCTTGATGACCGGTTTCTGTCCGCCACATGGACGACCCCCATCTTTGACAGACGTGGAAGACGATATCATTATCATTACTGAAGTAAGCCTAGCCCCTATCCTGAAAATCATGTGCCGGTCCGTGATAACCACGACGGCCTCGAGCCGAATCCATGTCCTGGGTGTGCTGGTTTCAAATCAAATCCCACTTGATGATCCCAGCAAACGCCATGCCAACCCTGCCCCTTTTCGCGAGGAACTCCTCCTTGGAGAGCCCCCTGCCGTCCTTGCCGTCAAATTTGGTTACCATGAAGATGCTTAGCCCTTCACCCGGCGCACCGAGATCAATGGCGTTGACATCGAGCCACCACCAGTAGCCATCCGTGTCCATCGGCACCATTTCCTTCTTGCGGCCGTCTCGACCGCCAATGCTCAGGAGCAGCAGTGGCGGCTTCCCGAGTCCGTGCCGCTCTGACGTCCAGTGCTCACACAGCTTGGAGAACTGGAAGCGCACGCACTCGCCGCTGTTAACAGAAATTTGCTTCTCCTGCGGATAGACGCTGCTTCCCTCAATGCCTTCCTGATGAGCGTTGGTGTACACCGTCGGTGTCTCCCCGTGGACGGGGCCAATGTAGTACTCCTCCCACGTAGGTATGCGGCCGTCACTTCGGAAAAAGTGGTTGTTGTCCTCCGGGTAGTGGGATAGGCCAAACATCTCGTTCGACCGCGTGAACTGCTCCGGCTTGAACGATGGAGTGTATGATTTAGTTGCTGACGAGACGTTGCCGGCTCCCCAGCATGAGTCGAGGAGCTTCCATTCTCCCCCATCGATCCGCACAGCGTTCCAAGCATGACCATCTGCTTTCTTTGGAGGGGGGCGTTCGCCCTTTTTGAGGGCTGTGTGTCCGATGCCCTTGCCGTGACCCGTCACTGTTATACACTCCAACCCGGCGCGCTGCGCTATGGCTTTGTAGGTGTCAGCGTAGCCGGAACACACAGCTCTCCCCATCTGTATCGTCTCCTCGGCGCCACGAGCTCGAATACTGTTGCCAAAGAATGCTGGACAATCATACGCAATATTATGATGGAACCAAGTGAAGATAGCCCGCGCCTTGTCAGTGTGAGATGCGAAAGGGGCGCATAGATAATGAGCAAGATAGCCGACAGGGTCATCGCGCGGCAACGATTCCCTGGGGTATTGAGCTGCCACGCCATCCGGACCTGAAAAATCGCGGCAGGTCAGGCAGTCGTCGCGTTGCTGTACAGCTGGAGCCTGCTGCGCGGCTGTGGCGCTCGGCTGGGGAATCGTGGGTCTGGAGCTCAAAGGAATAGGGGGCGGAACATCTCTTTCATCCAGATAATCATCTGAAGCCTGCGAAGGCACGCTGTGACCCTGTATGTCTTGGACATGATGCTCATGCCCATTTGTGACTGGTTGCGGACGAACGATGGGCCTTACAGCAGGGGCCTCAGATGCTGGGGGCGGTAGTCGGCGAGGTTTGGCAGGAGGGAGCTCTGGGTCCGGTGCGTGCTGGTGAACTGTATGGTTTTGTTGGACGGCAGAGGCGTTACTCAGGCGCGGAGGTAATGTGGGCCGCTGAGGAGCCTCAATCTGTCTGATGGCCGGAGCAGACTGGATGGGAATGGGGGCTCGGGGTCTCGCAGGTTCCTTGAGAACGGCCTCCTTCGCTGCCTGGGCGTCCCTTTCCCTCTTGGTCGGCGGCAGCGGGGGAAGACTGGAGGGATCGAACGCTGGAGGCAATTTGCGGCCTGCGCCATCGACGGAGTGTATACTTGTAGCTGATGACACAGTATTGTTGTTCAGGGAAAGAGACGAAAGTGTTGAGATTTCCGAAGCGTTTGAGTTTCGTCGGGCCTCCAGATACTGCGTCTGAGTGGAAGGTCTCCGTGGCGGCAGCGCAGGTGAGTTATGTGAGGTGGCGCTACGTGAGAGGATCTGTGGAGGTGGCGCGACACGATCTCTGGCCGCCGGTGAATGTTGCGGCTGGACCTGCGGTGACTTAGTCGTTCGTCGAGGCAGTGGCGGGGGGTTGGCCTTGGGGGGTAATGCTCTCGAAGGACGGGGAGGTATTGTTGGTGTCGGACGCTCTTGGGTTGCTGCGACTGTGGGAACTGAAGACAATGCCTGGGCTTGCTTGTCGGCCTTGACGGGCGGTGGGGGTGGAGGGGCTCGTTTCGCCTTGACCTCCGGAGCCTTGAAGTTTTTCTGCTTATTCAAGGCAGCAATTCTCTCGGCGAGAGTGGTGAACTGAGGTTCCTCGACGTCGGCCATTGTGCTTGGAACCCAGTCAGTCGATTGATTGGAGGCGAATCCGTCAGCGAGAGTGAAAGAAAGACACAGGTGGATTATGGATGTATCGCTGTAGGTGAGAGAAGGGAAGAAGAGAAAGAGACGTCGTCGAATCCAGGAGGGTACGCAGCGAACGGATGGCGGGGTTCGGAGTGATATCAGGCAGTCAGTCGATGGTTGTCTCAGGCCATGTGTTTGTCCCGACCTCGTGCTCGGCGAGGTGACAGCGCCTGGTCAGCGGCAGAGTCGCCGGGGGGTACGATGAGCGGACAAGCAGCAGCAAGCTGGGTGGACGGTGTTTCTTTGGCTGGGATTGTGTTGGATGCGCAGCCACAGGTGGGACAGGCGAGGTAATGACTGTGACTCCAACTACAAGCGTCTATCGGAGGTGACGGAAAGTTTGCTGGCAGCGTCGGATGGATGGATTGATGGATGTGGCACAGCAGACAAGAAGCGGGACGAGCAGACCCGTATGAAAGAGGGGATGAGAGAGGAGGGGATCAGTGATGGGCTGAAGGACGCAACTTGATGTTGAGAGGAGAGGACACGGGGGATTCTGAGGCTAACGAGTTTCGACCCGTCAGCCCAGCCGAGCCCAGCCCAGTCTTCCTTCCGGGATTCAAGGTGCACTGCACTGAGAAACGCCTGACGCCTCCCTGCCGCTCAATTTGAGTACATGTACTTGTAGGTAGGTGGTAATTAGGTACAACCAAGGAGGGGAGCTTGGGGGCGTTTGTGGATGTCCATGTGTTAATGTGGGGTGCCTTGCGCGTCCCCTACTCCCCTGCTTCCTTGGCGCTAGTCGAGGGGGGCGCAGGGTGTCGACTGCCTGTTCTGCGAGCCTGGTCTCGTAGGGCAGCCACTACCGGAACCGCCCCTAAGAATAGGGGCGGGAAGTCGGCACCGCGCATGCTCCTGCTCCTGCTTCTGCTCCCCACCGTTCGTGGGCCTCCCTGCCCGCGCGCATGCGGTCTTCATTCTGAAGCACATTGATAGTCACGCAAGCTGCTGCCAAACGAGCTCGCCAAACCAGCTCGCCAAACCAGCTCGCCACAGTCAACCTTTTGTGGATTTAGTCTTGTTATACTTGTAGTAGAGACGTTGCTCATCCATGAAGTATGGGCTAGGGACATGTAGCATCTCTGTCAGCCCCCATGTCCAGGATACCCCCGCCTCGTGGACTCAGATACCAGTAGCAAGCAGTCTGTGCGTGGCTCAGGGACCAGCTCAAACAATCTATTCCGGGCTCTTTGAAAGGGGCCACAGCAGCATCCTTACCGCTCGACGTGAAGGCAGCTTGGAGAAAACCCAACCAAAGCTTCTCGTGAATTACGCTCAAGGCACACACGTCCATATCTAGTTGGGCAGCATAGCCAGCACCCCCCGCTACCATTTAGCTACATCTCAGCCATTGAGCCAGTTGACACGAGCACGCGGAGCTTCGAGCTACTGGTGGTAAATTTCAAGTGACGACAAGAGACCTTGAACACGGCTTGTCTCATAACTCAAGCATCTTGTAAATTCAAGTGATACCGCATGCTAATGGACATCTCAAAAAATCAAATCGCTGACATCAACATCACCACCGTCTATCTACAGGTTCAACTTTTGCGCCCTGAACCTCGCGCCATACTTGCATATCAAAGCCGGCACTGGGATCAGCGCGATAGCCACGAACCCCAACAAGCTGTTTCCCCACCCCAGGCCGAGGGCGTCGTACATTTTGGGCCCCGCCAGTGGCAGAAACGCAGCGACGACACTCCGGAAGACCGTGAAAGCGGCGAGAGCGCTGGCCGCGTACTCGGGGAACGCGTCGATGATGTACGCCTGAATGGGCTGCCAGACGCCGACGAGGCCGAGGCCAAAGGGCAATAGAGAGAGGATGGGGGAAATCCAGTGGACCTGGGCGTAGGCGGACCAGCCATACCAGAAAAAGGTCAGAGGCAACAGACAGGCGAAGTAAACACAGTCCGGCAAGCGCATTTCCGGTTCATATACGCCGTGATTGGCGGCGGTGAGACGGATAACAGTGCGGTCGGAGATGTAGTTGAAGAGGGCGAGAGAAACACCGTAGCCGATGCCCATAGGTATGTAGACGAGGCCCGTCATGCCGAGCGAGAAGCCGTACTGATCCTGAAAGACGAGAGGAATGGTGTTGAAGAGCAGGTATAGCACGCCGTAGCAGAAGGCAATATACAGGGACAGGGAGAAGAGAAGCGGCGAAAGGAAGAGCATCTTGAGGGGCCGGGTCAGTCCACGAGCAAGGACCATGGACTTGGACTGCGGTGCCGCGTTTGCGTCCACGTAGACGGACCGTAGATCGGGACGGTTGAGTTCGATGCGGAGGCGGTCCGTCTTCCTTTGAATGAGTACACGGGCGTTGGTCTCTTGTGATAGGATAGCGATGGCAACAACCATGGGAACAGAGGCAGCCAAGACGATCCAGCCCGTCCAGCGCCAACCGATGTCCTGCGCAACAAAGGCACCGATGAGCGGCCCGATGGTGGGGCCGATGAGCGGGCCCAGCATCCAGATGGTAATGGCGCGGCCACGCTGGTGGACCGGTATGATATCGGCAATGATGCCACCTCCGATGGTCAGGCAGCCGGATCCTCCGACACCCGTCAGAAAACGGAACACAATCAGTGCGTTCAGCGAGGGTGCCAGGGCGCAGCCGATGAGCCATACACAGAAGAAGGCATTGGCGGACGAGAGAACAATGTGACGGCCGTAAATAGAGGGGAGAGGAAGAGAGGCCCTATAGCGTATCCGAGGAGGAGATAGATGCTGATGGGAAAGGAGGCCATGGTGAGATCAGCCTCTCCGTTTCCACTGAAGTCCTCGGCCAGAAACCCAATCGCGGGGGCCAGAATGGTCGAGGCAAAAGGGGTGAGGAACGTAATGGCGGCGACGAAGCCGACTATGGTCCACTTACGCTTTGCGCTAAAGTTCATGGGCATCTCGGGGTCATCTTGGCTCTCCCAGCCAACGACACCGTTGTCGAGGTCAGAAACCGGTATGGGTGCTGGCGGAGGCGGAGGGAGCTTGGTGCGCCGGGAACTGGCGAAAGAGCGCCTCGTCCTGGTGGTGATTTGAGAGGGCTGTCTGCTGAGCACTCTCTCGACAACGTCCTAGGAAGCTGTCAGCTCACCGCCAAAGGGTCCAAGGTATCGAAGCCCAAGGCGGCACACGGACTTCTTCATAGGGGTCTGTTTTTCGCTCTTGTCGGCTGCGCCCACGTTCGAGCTTTTCCGTCAACACTTCTTGCTCGATGCTGTCTCTGTCACTGAGGGACGGTGGGGGAGGTTCGGTTTCTGCATGTTCATGAGAGTGTTGGGCAGTCGCGTCAGAGCCCCAGCCAGCCTCGACATCTTTCTCCTTTCCGTCGCGCATGGCTCGGCCTTGGCACACAACGTGCGTGTCGAGACAATCCACTCCCTAGGGTGAATAAGAGGAGAGCAGCGTGCGATGAGCTGTCGTTGCCGCGTGCTCGAGGAAGGAAGATGGGTGAACGATGGTCCAGAGTCTAGCGCTCTACAGAGGAGGATGTCGCCCCCCAGAAAAGGGGAGAAGAGTTGGGGGTTCCTGGTCTCCATATTTTGCTTCGCTGCATTTTTTTCTGACGGGGAATCGTTTCCAATTGCAGTCTCGGGCCTACCAGGGGGTGAGGGGCTCGAGAGGCCCGAAAGGGCTTGAGAGCGCTGTGGATAAGAAGTGGGCGGACTTCAGGCCTCGGCACCGACAGACGGCCCCTCATCGTCATCATCTCCAACAGTCGCGGGACCCCGGATCCGACGGCCAAAGTGGAGCCCAAGTCGCCGGGGTTCAGGGTATCTCCAGGGTTTATATCCGTGTGTCCGTCGAAAGCGCCCCCTCTCCATGCCTCCAACAAAACCTCATCCTCCTTGGGCGATGAGCAAATGGCGTCGAGTGAAGCCAGTCACTGGAAAGGACCACCGTTGAAGTATGTGTCTCTCGATGCCGAAAGCCGAGATGGGAGGTGAGACGAGACGAGAGAGAGGTGTGGGACGGATCAGTCAGGCGCGTCTGACCACTTGAGAAGCGAGTGGGCTCCGATCATGGGAGCTATTGCTTTGCAATCCAGACGGTAGCTGGCTTGGCGGTGAGAGATCATCAGCATCTGCAGTGCAGAGTGGTCGGTGGTGGGTGGTGGGGGATACCTTGGCGCCAGAGAGAGGGGGCCCCAAAGAAGCAAAGTGCAGACAGAGAGCTGTTGGAGTTGGCTAGCTAGCTGCATCAGAGGCAGAGGGCGCGGAAGCCATGCCCAGCCTTGCCAGCAAACGGCGTGAGAACATGGCCTTGATGGTGTCATACCCACATGGTGCAAGCAACTCATGCACCCCGCAAAGAATGCACGCGACGTGCGCTGGGGAGAAGGGTGGATGGAGGGCGGTTCACGGAAAAGGGAGAAGGTAGAAGGACCGGCTTCCACTCATCATGATGGGACGGCGTCAGGGCCACCCGCCTGGAGTCACGTTTACCCGGATCCGGAATCGTAGCCCACCCGATCGATTCCCACGAACCGGCCAGACCCACTTGCGAGCGAGCACATGGGAAATGGGAAATGGGAATGAATTGGGGGAATCCGTCAAAAATGGTGGCTTTTATGCTTGGCGGCATGGGTCGAGCAAGAGGCCCATTCATCCAGAACAGTCGCGTTACCATTCGACAAGTGGCGCGTCTTCTGGATCTGTTCCCATCGACAGTCCACCTCTCCTCTCTGATCCCTCGCCTACCTTGACTCGATACCTGGGTCGGTACCTGTGTTGGTACCTGTGTCGACCTACCTTTTAGGGGCCTTTCCTGTGCTAGCCCAGAGGAGTGATAGACCCCTGTCAACTGCGCCTCGGCATCTGGATTACTGTGTCCCAACCCAAGACAAACGTCAAGCACCAAGTTCATCAGCATCATACACAACCTTTCATCGGCAACCCGGTCCGCCCCATTGTCGAGACGTTTGTTGCGCGGCCATGGTCACGGCGTGAAGGGCTCTCTTCACCACCAATCTCTTATCGTCTCTTTCTTTGCCAGTCATTACCACCATCCCCTGTCACCATGGCGGTGCCTTCGGAACTCACGCGCACGGAGACGCTCTCGCACCTCGCCATCTCAGGTGCCGCTCTCATCATCCTCGCCAACACCTTCACTGGCGAGGGAGAGCCTCTCATCGCGTCCCTGGCCCTGTCGGCCCTCGCCTTTTCTCTCGCCTACTGCATGGTCCGCTGGCTGGGCCCCACCTTCATCAAGGCCGGCTTCAAGGGCAAGGACCTCTCCAAAGCTCACCAGCCTCTCATTCCCGAATGCATGGGTGCTGTCTGCGCCGCCGTCTACCTCCTTGTCATTATTGTCTTCATCCCTTTTCCCTTTTACAAGGACATTGTCGCCGCGACCAGCGGTGGAGGCAACCGCGACGTCGTCCTGCATGTCGAACATGTTCAGCAGGGACGCTTCCTGCATCGCTTCCCGCATAGCAAGGTACGTACTTGCCCCTGAACCCCTGACACAGACGCGACCTGTGATCTGTAATCTGTAATCTGTAATGTGTAATGCATCATCTATGATCTACGATCTGTGCTCCGTCATCTGGAGCCATGAGCGAGCCTCGACTGACACTCAACGCAGCTGGCTAGTTATCTGTCCGCCATCATCTCTCTGCAGACCACCGCCCTGCTCGGCATCGGCGATGACCTCTTCGACATCCGCTGGCGCCACAAGTGGTGGATTCCCGGTCTCGCATCCATCCCCATCCTCGTCGTCTACTTTGTCGACTTTGGCGTCACCTCCATCGTCATCCCTATCCCCCTGCAGCCCTACCTCGGCGAGCTCTTCAACCTGGGGCCTCTCTACTACCTCTACATGGCCCTGCGTCGCCATGTTCTGCCCCCAGGTCCATCAACATGCTCGCCGGCATCAACGGCATCGAGGTGTCCCAGTGCCTCGTCGTCTCCCTGCTCCTCGTTTCTCACGACGCACTCTACCTGCTGACCCCCCATCCGCACCCGGCCCCCGACTCGCACCCTTTTCTCTTC